CCTCTGCCCCCTCCCCTCCCCTTCCCATCTCCCCTCCAGCTCCCTCCCTGCTGGAGAAGGGAAAACAAAGGGGGAAGGCCCTCCCCAACAGTCTGAAGCTCAGGAGTGTCTGGGCTTCAAGGAGACCAGGTAGAGTGGTGGGGACAACCCCCCCCCACATCCTGGAGGAGAAGGCCCAGATGAAGAGCAGAGTTGAGGCTGTGAACACACAGGGGCAGCCATCTGCCCAGTGGTACCTGGGACTCACACCTCACCCCAGGCCTGCAGGGTCCACAGAGTCCTCGGGTGGAAGGGCAGGACCAGTCCCTACCCTGCCCCAGTTGGGCTCTGAGCTGCCCACTGGTCCTCTGGGGGTGACATCATGCCCCAGGGTCACCCACCACACCCTGCAGGGCCCTCATGAGGCATGGGGTCTCCCCCAGGGCTGCACAAGGCCCACAGTCACCCCACTTCCACCATAGCCCAAGTGTCCCTGAGGCCACTATGGTGTCTCCCATGGAAGGACCACAGACCCCTCGTGGCTCCAGCCCTGGGAGGGCACCCACTGCCCAGACTCCAGGTGAGGGTCAAGGTCCCAGGACACCAAGACACAGCAAGTCCAAGTCCTACCTTCCCAGAAGGCTTGGCACTGCAGGGACTGTCCAGTGGGAGCCAAGAGCCTTCCCAGGGTGGGGGGGACGCAGGCCTATTCATCCCTTGCCAGGCTCTGAGGTCATCTCCCACTTCCCTGTGGGTGGGGATCAGAAGGATGGCTCTGCCTGGCCGGAGGCGGGAGACTCAGCCTCTCCAGACAGACCCGACACCCAGCCCCACACCTTGGGTCCAGCAACCCTGTGGGCCCAATCCATAGCGTGCCCAGGGGGCGAGGCCCAGGTGCCCAACAGGGAAGGGTCTGTGTGAGGAAGTCGGGAGAGGGACACAGGCCGCTCTCAGAGAGCTGGCAGCAGAGCCCCCCATGGAAGGCCCCTGAGAGCCACCCCCGCCTTTCCCTGAGCACCAGGAGGCTGCACCCTATGAGGCTGATCCGCCCTCCCCCTCCCCCCGCCTCGCAATCGCATTTTTCCCAGCTGACAGCACTTGCACAAATATTGACTCGAAGACACTGATCAGCAACGTTGGGGTGGGGCACAGAACTCTCGCCCTGTCCCTGCTGGGATGTGCCCAATGATGAGGCTGCCGCCTGTCACTCAGCATCTGTCTGTCACACCAGGGCCCTAGACAGTAGGACCTCAAGGGCCTGGCCGGCTGCACAGATGCTGGAGGGAAGGGAAGTCTGTGCAGAGGGTGCCCATCTGCCCCCCACTGGTCACGGCTCCCAGGGCCACACCAGCCACCCTCGGTGTGACCCGAATGAGCGCAGACCTCTGACATCCCTGGATATAGCCCTTCCCCTTGGCGAGGGCTGACCTTTCCGCTGCTGCATAGTTCTGTGCAGAAGGAAAAAAATGTCTTTTAAAGCAAAAGCCAAGCAAAAGCCAAACAAAAGCCGGCAGGGTTATTTTTAAAAATCTGGCTATTTTGGGGGCAGGCATGTCTCCAGGACAGCAGCCAGACCAGGCTCTCCACCACCGCGCCCCCGGCCCCACGCCCAGCCCGCCCTGGGAGGGCCAGCAGGAGCCCTGGGAGCCCCAACTGGAGCTCGGGCAGCAGGTCCAGTGTGGGCTCCAGGCTCCAGTGGCTATGTGCACTTGCGTGGTCCCAGACAGTGGGAAGAGATACAGGATTGGGGTCAGGTGCCTTTCATGATGGCAGGAAGGTTCCAGAGCCTCAAAGGGAGAATGTCACCTGCCCCTGGAGTGGGCAGAGGGGGCAGCCATGCAGTAGGGACGCAGCAGAAGGCACTTGCCCGGGCCACTCCATACACAGGTATTGCAAAGACAGAGGTCAGAAGTGGGTGATGGGCCAGGGTTAGAGAGCATGACACGGCCTGCAGAGAAATGCTGGCGGGGACTCCTCAGGCCCTGGGGGTGATGGGAGAGGGTCACCCTGTTGACCAGCAATCTCCTGGGCTCAGGCAGCCACATCACCAAGGGGTGGGCTGCGGCTAGAACCCCGTGGGAGGGGAGGGGGCATCATTCCGTGCCTACACCCCAGCTCTGCCCTGGCCCATTTTGTGCTGGGGAGACCGGGCCGGGCCTGGGTGCTGGCTGTGCCGCCTGTCCTGGGGGTGAAGGCCAGCCCCACCCACCCAGCGGCCTGAATCCCGGGCGGACTGTGACTCAGCCCTGGCCCTGCAGGAAGAAGGCCCCACGCCAATTCCTGGGGCAGGAAGCCCCTCCTAACCCCAGGCGTCCGGGCTAGCGCCCTGATCGCTGCCCTCAGATAGAGCACTGGGCACCCAACCCTTCAGGTGCCCAGGTCAGCCATGTGACCCCCGTGTGAGTCCTGACCCTGCCTCCAGTCTTTGCCCATTCCCCCAGGGTGATCCCGTTGGCCAAGACCCCATCTGGAAGCCTTGATAACCACCGCAGCAGGGATCAGGGCCAGGCAAACAGGGCGTGTCCACGCAGCCCCCAGCTGGGTGAATGGGCATGGCTGTCCACACAGCAGGATGAGGAGCCCAAAACCACCCTACACATGGACACCATGCCCAGAGAGGGTGAGGTGGAAAAGCTATGACAAGCCCACCACCAGGGAAGAAAAACAAAAATACAGAATGCCCCAAGGTCAGGAGCCCCAACTCTGTGGGCCAAGCACCACCATCCCAGCCATAGGTGGCCCAAGCGGGGTGGAGAAATTTCCAGGGACATGCGGGGGTCGGGAGCTCTTCGTGTGGAGGGACAGGCACAGCGTCCCAGCCAGGAGATGCCCCGTACCTTAAGGGGCCTGGGCTGGATGCAGGCCAGAGGGCCATCCTAGGTCACAGGAAGTGGAGTTTATCCCAAGGGGACCCCTTGGACTGAAACCCAAACAGTTTAGTCTCTGCTGGGTGGTATAGTCAGCAGCCCACATGGAGGGTTTTATTTAAAAACAAACAGAAAACAGGAAGCCTCTGCGGCTGCCAGGTCTGGGGAGGACAGGCAGGTGGTGGGGTCTCTCTGTGTCCAGATGAGCAAGGGGACTGGTGTGCAAGGACAGGCATGCAGCTGCTATGGGACAATGCAGAAGATGGCCCACCTCCCTTCACAGCAGCCCCTTGGGCCACATCCTCCAGCCAGGACAGGTTGGGGGGAGGGTCTCCCCAGCTAGCCTGTTGGGCGGGGGGAGATGCCACCTAGGACCCACCACCCCCCACAGGGAGTCTGGCTCAAAGGCCACATCCGCCCCAGCCTGGCCCCTACACCTGTCCCGGCCACAGGGCTCTGTAACCAGATCCTGCCCAATTGTGCTTCCTGTCCTCCCTGGCCACCCTTGACTGTCCTGAGGTCCTGGCCAAGTGCCCAAGCAGACCCAAGCAGCCATGCCAGTGGCCATGGCCTCATAACCAGCAAGCCAGTGAGGCTGGAGACCAGTAGGCCACCAGAATCCCAGGCCCACCAACCTGAGGGTAGCAGGGCAGGCCCAAGGGTTGACGAGCCGGTGCGTGCCAGCCTCCCACGGGTGGGCCCGGGAGCCCAAGGCTCCTCTAGATACCAGACCAGGGCCTTGGGGACACCACACTGGTGCTGATCTGCTCATAACTGCTGCCTCAGTCTCCCTAGGTGCCTAGGGAGGACCCTCACGTGACAGCTGCCAGTAGCTTTACCATAGCTTTGCCTCTTCAGCCATCTGGGGGGACAACTGACCCTCCCACCCCCACAAGTCTACCGTCCACCACCCTTGAGGCACAGGCCCTCACTCTGGCATTTTTAGCATCCAGCCAGTACCACCCACCCCAGCCCACCCCCAATGCTAGCCCCAATGCCTCCACACCTGGCCCCCCATGACCCCATGTGACCCCCCACTGGCCCTCCCTGTCTGTCCTGTAGCTCTGAGACAAAGCTGTGCTCCGTCACCTGTGTCACCTGCACCACCTGTACCACAGGAGAAAACAGCCAGGGGCCTCCGTGCAGGAAGGGGTCCAGCCTCCTCACTTGGCCTCTGACGTGTGACCTGAGGACTGGCTGCTGCTGTGGAGAGCCCTTCCCCCAAGGCCAGGTCACGTGGTGTCTGAGCCAGCCCCATCTACCCCACCCAGCTCCATAGCCTTGGGTCCACTGGACTGCTATGTTGTCCCTGGGGGAATCTGGGAGGGCAGGGTGTAGGGCACCCACGTCAGGACCTGCCTGCTGAGCGCCTGGCCTGGGTACAGGGTCTGGGTGTGGCTCTGGGAATAGGGAGCCTGAGGCCAGAGATCCAACCACTCAGCTCCAGAAGCTTCCGGAGGACACAAGGAGACACACAAGAACCCGCCCCAGGGAGCCTCCCTGGCAGGTCATGGCCGGGACTGGCCAGGACTCAGAAACTGCCCAGATCACTTCTGCCTGGGGCCCCTCCTCTAGAGAAAGACCCCCCTCCAAGGCTGGGGCTTGGCAAAATCCTAGCCAAGAGCCCAGAGGGCCCTCAGGCGACCCCAGCTCCACAGCTCCCACAGAGACGGCCACCCCCCACAAGGGTGTGAGACCCAGAACATGACGCAGCCCTCCTCGCCACCTCCCTGGCCCTCCTGACCCACCAGGAACAGGAAGCCTTCGTGCCCAGCACCAGCCCCCACCCCCTTCCTAGGGCATCCGCTCCAGACCCCAGAACAAAGGCTGCTGGCAGCCTGCCGCCGGGGAGTGCCGACCCACGAGCTCAGCCTGGCCTCTTCATGGAAGCCCCAACCCCACCCCAGGACAGCCTGGAAGGACCTGCCCCAGAGCCAGAGAACCCAGAGAGGCGTGTTTCTCACCATGGAGCTGCCCAGCAACTCCAGAGCTCTCCTGCCCCCACCCCAGCCAAGGCTGGCAGCCCCTTGGCCAAGGCAGAGGCATGGGTGACCAGCCAGTCAGTAAGGGTGGATGAGTGGAGGGAGGGAGGGAGGGAGAGAGGGAGAAAGGGGTAAGGAGGCAGAAGAGAAGGGAGGGAGGGAGCAAAGGAAAATGGTGGAAGGAAGGAGGGAGAGAAGGACAGAGGGAGGGAGGGAAAGAGGGAGGGAGGGAATAAGGAGGGAGGAGGTAAGGAGGGAGGAGAGGAGAGAAGGAGAGAAATAAGGAAGATGGTGGAAGGAAGGAGGGAAGGAAGGAAGGAAAGAGGGAGGGAAGGAAAGAGGAAGAGAGGGAAGAAGAGAGGGATGGAGGGAGGGAGGGTAGGTGGAAGGATGAATGGTGGAAGGAAGAAAGGGTGCATGGATGGATGGGTACATGGGTGGGTAGGTGGGCAGATGGGTATGTGCATGGATGGATGGGTGGATAGGTAGGTGTGTGGATGGTTGGGTGGGTGGGTGGATAGGTCGATAAGTGGATATATAGATGGGTGGGTGAATAGGTGAGTGGATGGATGGATGGATGGATGAGTGGGTGGGTGGTTATATGTGTGCACAGATGGGTGGGTATATAGGTGGGTGGACAGATGGATGGGTGACTAGGTGGGTGGATGGCTGGGTGGGTGGATGGATGAATGGATGGGTGGATGCACAGATGGTGGGTGAATAGGTTGGTGGATGGGTGGGTGGGCCTTCATCCCAAACAGAGCTGGAAAGGGCTCCTTTTCCCTGTGGGTCATTTTACAGATCCTGAAACTGAGACTGAGAGAGGAAAGAGGCTCACAGAGTGAAACCTCTCTCTGGCCCAGGAAAAATCTAAAGCAAATTCACTCCAGGCCTGGATGTTTGCAGCCCAGTTCACAGACATGGAGACGGAGGCTCAGCCAGGGCCCCAGAGCCTGGAGTGGGCAGAGCCACATGGGTGGTCCAGGTGGGGGGGGGCATCTCCCTTAGCCCACCCATGGAGCATCAGGCACTGTGCCCACAGGTTCTGCAGACACCCTGATGTTGCCATGGAGACTGGGCCCTCTCCCCTCCCCCAGCCCCACTGGACTAGTCCCTCAGAGGAGGGGTAGGAAGAACCCACCTGTGCCGTCTTCCCACCCACCAGCAGTGAGAGTTCACACACATGCTTCCCATGGGTGCCTCCACTGCTGCACCCAAAATGAGGGACCCTGAGGTCCCCTAGGCTCTAGGGGACAGGACAAACCCAGACTTGCTGAAACCTAGGGAGATGAAGGGATACGGGCTGAGACCCACCCAGACCCCACCAAGCGGGAGCCCAGCCAGGTCACAGTCAGGCCAGGCCCTGCCAGGTGGGAGCCTGAGGCCAGCAAGCAGGAAGCCCCTCCCCAGATCTCCCCTCCTCCTTCCCCTTCCCACCTGGGCTGCTTCTCCGTAGGGCCCAGCAGCAGGCCCACGCCCTCCTGGAAATTCCAGGTGCTTGTGGAACTTGAGCCAGCCGGCCCACCCACAGGCCAGGCCTCCAGGTGGGGTCGGATGTGCTGCCTCTCAAGGCCAGCCCTCCAGCTCCACCGCTACTGCTTCCTGAAGACCCCTGGACTGTAGCAGGGACACAGAGGCTCAGGGGAGAGCAGAGACCCACATGGTCACACCCCAGGATGGCAGCAAAGCCCACCAGGACTCAGGGCTTGGAATGGACCCTGCAGCCCCAACTCCAGGGTTGGACTACTTCCGGCCCAGCCTCATCCACCTGCCCCCACCACCCCCTCCCAGGAAGCAGCAGGATTACTGGCCCATTTCACAGGCAGGACCTGGGGCAAAGTCACAAAGCAGCACGCAGCCTGTGCAGGAGCCAGCTCAGGAGTGAAGTGAGGGCCCAGACCTGGGCTCAGAGATGCAGGGGGAAAGCCCACTTTGGGGGGGCTCGCTCATCCCAGGAGGTGCCCAGCCCCACCCTCTGTCCTATGCAGGGGCCTTGAAAGCCAAGGAGGGCCCAGAGCCGGGCCTGAGAGCTGCTGCCTAACCCCGCCTAACTCCTAACTCAGTAGGCCCGGCACAGGTATCCCAGGAATGTCCACTTCCGCCAGCTCCCCTGCATTCCTGCGGCCCCTCCCATCCCAGCCAGGAATTCCTGAACCACCAGGGCGCCTGCCACAGAGGGCACCAGAGGCTGCTGGCACCCCCCCAGCTGCCCACTCAGTGCCCCTCACCCAAATTCTGTACCTTTGGAAACACCACAGCGCCCCTCCCCATGAGCCACAGAGATGCTGAAAGCAGCAAGGGAAGGTGTCCTGCTGCTGGGTCCGACCCTGCGGCCCTGCCCCGCCCAGCCTCCAGCCCAAACCTCGCCCAGGTGGAGGCTACCCTTCTGGTCCTGAGACCCCAGTGGGCCCCAAGGTCAGAGACGCAGGGGTGGGGGCTGAGGTAGGCAAGCAGGGACCCACCTGACCCAGGTCCAGGGTGACATTGACCTCGTTGTACTCCAGGCCACGGGACAGTGGCGGGCTCTGCCACCAGCGCTCTGTGCCGTCGATGGCGTTGCTCGCGGGGTGGGCCTTGTTGCTGTTTGCGGCTGTGCAGATGTCGCAGTACTGGCCCTGCCGGGGAACGGGATGGTCAGGTGGCTGCGAGGGGCCGAGACCCCCACCCCTTTCCTGTCCAGAGGCACTCTTCTCCCCCCAGAAAAGCCCTGGCCCTGCCATACCAGCTGCCCTCAATCCCTGCACCCTGGATGGCCATTCAACCATTTACTCAGCAAACACACGTTGAGTGCCTGCTGCTTCCTCTACTGGGGTGGCTCAGGAGAGATGTTCCTGTGTTAAGGAGGAGACAGGAGGATGGAGAAGAGGGACACTCGCTTTAAGTGGGACCATCACGGCAGGCCTCTGAGGAGGTAGCATTGGAGACCTTCTTGGTGAGGGGGCATGGGCTCCAGGCAGAGGGGATGCCAGTGCAAAGGCCCTGGGGCAGGAGGAACTTCGGTGTCAACAGTAAGTAGGCCAGTGTGCCTAGAGCCAAGGGGGCCAAAAGGGGGTAGGGTCCTGCAGGTCACTGCAGGGGGTTCAGAAGGATGTGGGCAGGGTGGGGTGAGGGGGGTACCAAGAGTGAGGAAGGTGGAGCCACAGAGAGGAGGACCATCCAGAGGCCTCCAGGATGGCTGGAGTGCTAGGTCCCTCCCCACCTTCCCAGCTAGTCCCTTATCCCCCACCCCTGGTTCTTTCCAGGGTCTTCCAAATTAGGGTCTTCAGAGAGACAGAACAAAACTGTCCCAGCAGCTCAGAGTGGAGGCAGCTGAATGGAGGCCCAGAGTGTAGGCAGTTGAGTGGAAGTGCAAGGGCCACAGCAGGTGAAACGTGAGCCCCTGGCTCTGCTGTTTCCAAGCCCTGGAACAGGGCCAAGTCATGGCAGCCGCAGAGCCTCAGTGTCTCCACCAGCAGAGCGGGGGTGGCACTGCACTTGCCTTGGGCCCTTGAGGACTAAAGGATCTCAAATAGAGGCTGGCGGCTGCCTCTGTGAAGGCCCAGCCACCTGCTAGGCGCCTGTCCTGGGAGGGGACCCAGAAAGCTCCCAGCAGGGTCCTGGCCTGCATCCCTGTGAGGGAGGGGCAGGTGCTGGGAGCCTGGTGTGGGGGAGGGGAGAGGAGGGGCCTGTAGGGCAGAGCTGGGCCCTGGCTGCCAGCCCATAGAGCCTGCCCCAAGGAAACCAGACCTGCTGTCCCTCACACAAAGGCAGCCAGCCCTGAGACTTGGCATCGACTGAGGCCCCAGAGGCCGGGTCTGGGAAACACGGTCGCCCCACCCCTCCCAGCTTCCCAGGAGGCCAGACCTTGTCTTAGGAGAAGGTGGGAGCGTGGGAGATCCCTGGCCCCAGTCCCAGGCCAGGCAGGAACAGAGGCCCCAGGCCCCCTACCCACAGGGTTGCCCTGCCTCTGCTGAGTGTCCCATGGGCTCCAGGACCCTGTGCCGCTGCCTGAGTCACCCCATCTCAGACATCTCCCTGCCTGGGGACTCTGTGCCTGCTGCTCCAGATCTCAGTGCAGATCCTACCTCCCCATGGGGCTGCCAGCTCCACTATCCAAGAGGTGGTCCTGCAGTCTCCCCAGCACTGGACCAGACCTGGAAGCACCGGCCATCTGGGATTAGCTTGTCTACCGCCTTCCGGGGTCCCAGAGCTCTGCAGTGCAGCATCCACACCTGCCTCATCCCCAGCCTCGTCCCCAGCCCACTGCCAGAGATGCACCAGGACAGAGGACACCAGCTGAGAGCCAGCATCATGGGGGTTACAGTGCTGAGCTTGACCGGTGACCCCAAACTGGAACCTGGGGCTTGGGGTCCAGGGCCTGTGGGCGCTGCCGAGGTGAGAGGAGGAGGGGCTCAAGAAACTTGCTGGCAACACTGCACACATCGTCCTGGCCAGGGTGAAGGTGGGCGGGGCTTCCATGAAGGTTGCCTGCTGGCCCAGACCCTTCCAAACATCATGGGGAGGCTGAGTCGGAGGCTGAGATGGAGGGTCAGCCTCCTGTCTCCCAGGAGCCCGGGGAGAATCTGCTTAGCCCCTGCCGGAGACAGAGTGGGTCCGGAGAGTCAGGGAGAGGCGGTTCTGGCTCCCACGTCTTGGCCACTCACTAAGCAGTGGACAGGCTGGGGAAACCCGGTTCCCCCACCCCTGCACCGCAGGGGGTCCCATGAGGACAGAGCTGGGAAGCAGTGGAGGGGCCGACAAGGACTTCCCCTTGCTACTGAGCCCTGCTTTCCAGTTGGCCAGGCCAGAAGTTCTCCGAGGCCCACCTGAGGCGACCAGGGCTGGCCAAACTGCCCTTGGCAGCAATTTTTACCAATTACCATCCAAGGCATAATGAAACTTCTCCATGAGTCAAAACATGGCAGATTCAATTTGAATGGGAAAGAACCCCAGAGCACACATCTCTCAATGCTAGCCTCCCCACAGTCTCCAACCAAAGGCCCCGCGCTGTCTCCTCTCATTCCTTGTCTCCAGATGCCCAGCAAGGCTCACCCCAGGCCTCCAAGCGGGACACTCAGTTTCTGACCCACCTCCAGAGGGTTTCTAAGAGCCGCTGGTCCCTGGGCCCCTGGTCCTCAGCGACCCCACCCTGCTGGCACAAGATGGGGCTCCTAGGATGGATGGAGGTGGGCTTCATCTCCTGGGCATATCCTGCACCTGCCCGCCTTACCTCACCCTCCACTCCATTCCAGGCAGCCTACAAGGCCTATCACGAGCCCAATCAGTGGCTGGGGCAGCAGCTCCAGGAGAGGAAGGAGATATCCAAGGTCTGCTGGCCATGCTCAGAACTTCAGCCCACAGCCATAGAGCAGGGGTGCTAACTGCCCAGAGCTTCACACTTTCATTTTTATTTTTGAGTCAAGGTCTTACTCTGCCACCCAGGCTGGAGGGCAGTGGCATGCTCATGGCCACCACCTAGGCTCAGAGGATTCTCCAGCCTCAGCCTCCTGAGTAGCCAGGGCTATAGGTGTGCACCACCACACACAGATAAATTTTTCATTTTTTTTTTTTGTAGTGATGTGCCCAGGCTAGTCTTGAACTCCTGTGCTCAAGTGATCCTCCCACCTCGGCCTCCCAAGGTGCTGGGATTACAGGCATGAGCCTCCATGCCCAGCGGCTCTACACACTTTCCAAAGGAGGCTTCCCCCTCTTGCTAGACACCAACTGGGCAAGGAAGGTCAATGATCTGCTCCAGGCCAGTTCTGAGGCCAGTAGTCCCAGTATGAAGGCTTCCTGGGCTTCTCAGGTCAAATTTCGACCTGAGAAGTTTGAGGCAGGACCATTTTATAGACAAAGAGCTTGGGGCCCAGAGGGAAACCATACAGCTAAGGAGAGGCAGAGGAGAGCAACTTTGAAGCCAGGCCACCTGGGCCAGGCCTGTAAGCCCTATAAGGAAATAATTACTACCCCTAAGGGGATAGATCCCAGCAGGCAGTCCTTGGAGAAGGCCAGTGGTCCCCAGGCAGGTGGCACAGATAGGGAGTAGGGAGGGGTAGTCTGAGGTTCCGAGGGAACCTGGGGCCTCCCTGCTGGAGTCACCAGGTCCCCTGCAGTAGGTCTGGGGACATCCCAGGTGCTCCTTCCTGAGGCCTGGCCCCTGTGAGGTTAACCCATGCAGTGGGGGTCCCTCCCAGCTGGGCCCTGTTCCAGCTGTGGGGCTCCAAGCAGGTGTGTGCATCTTCCCAGGGCCCAGTTTTCCCACCTGAAGCGTGGGCCTGAGACCTCCCACCTCAGAGGCCTGTGCTGGGCTTAGAGGAGGATGCATGTGGCCCAGGATGGCACTTCTCAGCTCCCTCTTTACAGGAAGGCTGAGGGTGCGGCAGGAGGGCCGGGAGAGGGCCCAGCTCAGCGACTTCATTCATTCCCCAGCCTCCAGGCTCCTGGGTCCTCTTCCCCATGCGAGTAAATCCACCCTCCAGCTGCTCTCCCCTTCCCTGGCTGCTCCTCTCTCCCCAGCTGCCCCCTCGATCCCCGCCCACTACCCCCCCCCCAGCATGCTGCCCCCTCACACCCTCTGCTCTCCCCCTTCCCCACCTCTCCTTCTAGGAAGGTGGAGGGAAGTCCCTGGAAGAGGCAGTTCAGGTTACATCTGCTCTCAGGGACCCTAGACTTTCCCATAGGTGAGGCAAGGTAGGGAGAGGGGCTTGGAGTGTTTGTGGGGAGCCCCTGGATCAGAGCCGCCCCCCAAGGCTGACCCCAGCCTCAACCTAAGTCCAGGGGATCCCAAAAGCCTGCCTTCCAGGGCAGGTGTCTATGAGTGAGGTTCGCTAACCAAACCCACCTACAGGCTCATGGCTGGGGAAGCATACCCCCAGAGGATCTTCAGGGACTGAAACTCACCTCCCCTGGGAGACAGAAGCCTGAGGACCCTCCCACCTGAGGGTCGGCCCTGATGGGAGCCACGTGTTCCCAGCCCCGGTTAAAACTCCGGATTCTGGGGGTCCCATTGAGTCCCTGGACCCCTGGTAGAGAGGCTTCAGTCCTAAGCTGGGGTGGTAGCTCCTGGGGCCCCCATCACCACCGCAGAGGAGCCGGGCCCCTCCACCCCCATACCGAGGCCAGCAGGTTCCAGCCTGTCCCGGAGGAAGGCGGAGCTGCCCGCCCCCTCCCCACAGGCAGCCCGCGGCGGGGCCAAGTCTCGCCCTCGCCGGGATCCCGGACTTGGGGCCGCCAGGGACTGGGCCCTGCCACCCCTCCCGCCCGGATCACCGCAGCCGAACTGGACCGGCGCCCGGCCGCCCCCGAGTCCGTGCCGGGACACCGTATTCCGCCTTCCCTGAGGGACGCGCAGTTTCCCGGCCGAGCTGAGTGGCCGGTGG